ATGGCAAATGTGAGAACTTCCCTGCTGGTGTCACCTGGGCCAGTGCTCCCCAAGCTTTTTGAGACCAAGAAAATGGGCATACGGGCCAAATAAGTCACCGACAGCCACAGGGGCTAGACCAGAGCTCTCTGCTCTGGGCTCAGCAAAGCCAAGAGAAGCATGTTTCAACCCCCCTAACACAGACAGTGGTGGTGGGTATGGGCAGGGCAGTCCTCTTCCTTGCCCCTGGCAGGGGAAGTAATGGGGGCAGTGGGATGGGATGTGACAAGACAGACCCTGGGAGACAGCACGGAGGGAGGTCTGCCATTGCTCAGTGGTCCTACTGGTGAAGAGGGCTACGGGTCTGCAAGGGGGCGAAGCAGAGCCAGCACGAGACAAGGGGAAAGGGAAATTTTTCTGGGTGCCTTTGTCCTGAAAGGGGTGACGGGGAGAGGGCCCCCTCATGGGCAGAGGAGAGGCGGTCACAGCCTTGGGGGGTGCTGGCATGGCTGGCAATGGCAAGAGGTCAGGCCTGCAATGCCCTGCTGGCACAGCGCCCATCCAGGTTGCTTGACCCCCTCCTTTCCATGAGTCTTTCCCCAGAAGAAAACGGATTGAAAGAAGCAGCCGAGGGGGTCTCCCAGCAAGGGGGAGCAGAGGGCTGCATCTGAACTCTCCCCTGCACCCATGCGCGCCTGGCAGAGTTGCATGTCACTGCCGCTGCCTCTCCGGTCCCTTGCGAGCGCCCGTCAGCTGCCAGCTGTGCCATCCACACAACGCACAGATCTCGCTACCAATTACCCGAGCGGAGACAGCTTTCAGAAACTCTGCCGAGCAGCCCCTGAGGAGAGGAGCGGGGTGCCGAGGAGATGGCAAGGGGGGAGGCCGTCTCGGGCTTGGTCTAACTCCGGAGCCAAATGCCTCGTCCTATCTATTCCACCTGACTGGTCAGACGCGAACTCCTCCTGCCCGCAGCCCTCGCTCACACATTTGCATGGTTTAAAAAGGGGCTTTGTTCCCTTTGCCCTCAGCCCAATAAAACAGCTCTGTCTCACACACACACGTCTCTAGTGATGGATGCTGGAGAAAAACAACCCCCCCCCACCTCTCCCCCTTACCCGTAAGCACTGCAAACACGGAGGGAGGGGAAACCTCCACCTTCTACCACCCACCGTCTACATCGCGCTGCAGGGCACATGGCAAAACCCAGGTCTTGCACCCCTCCCCTTTGCGCCACACCTGCCAAAGAAAACCTCCACACCTTTCTGCTTTCAGGGGCAGGTGGCTGAGGCCAACGCTCAACCCATTTCCTGCTCCCTATTCAGCTAAGTGGGTCTACCCCTTCACCCTGCCACAAAAGAGAAGGAGGGTGAGGAGTTAGTCTGCTCAGAAGCCCTGGGTGGTGGGAAGGGGACTGGCTTTGCTGACCTTAGAGGAACCATATGGGTTAAGCCTCTCTGAGCCCGTGGATGCTCTCCAGGGCAGCACCGAACCGTCCCCGATGCCCCCGCCCGTGCAGGAGTGGCAGCCGCGTTACAGATCTTGGAGGAGAGCCCTGATGAAACAGTATTAATGGCCTCAGTGTGAAGGGAGGGAGGCACCGCCCCATAAATCAATCTGTGGTTGAGGAGTTTTCTAGGGTAGAGCCTTGTTTGTGTAAAAAACACATTATTGCTAATTAAAGATGCCTCCGTGCCGGCTTGTCAAACCCTCTGTTTCCAGCAGCTGGCTCTGGACCGCTTGGGGAGCTGTCGCAGGAGGGGGTGGGGATGCTCGAGATTTGCTGTGCACTTGTACTCCATCTTCCTCCCCACTCAGCGGGGGGCAAGGGGCAGGAGGAGCCTTCCTTACAGCCAAAGTGGACTTAAGATTTCCCAGGTAAACACCCAGTTCCCTTTGACAGCCCTTTCCTGCCCAAGGTGTGTATCCAACCATGGGTGTCAGAAGGGGAAGGTCAGTGGCACCACCATGCAGAAGAGGACACCAATCTCTGGGCCAGATGTGCACCCCAAGGTTTGCAGTCAGCCCCACCTTTGCTTGATCAGGTCTTGTCAACACCCATGCCTAGGAGGTGTTTAAAAGGCAACGGGGACTATTTGTTGCCCTTGATTATCCTACGAGGAGGTGGTAAGAATTCATGTGTCCTGCCAGGCTGGTCCGTGCACGGGAAAGAGGTTGCTCCAGACCAGCATCCGACTTGGAAGATTAATGATATGACGTGAAAGTCATGCGAGATGGCAGAGCTTTGCTTATTTAAAGAGAAGCAGGGATGTGTTGGGGGCGGGGTGGGACAGGCGATCCTCGTGGAGGGGGGAATGTGGGATGAAGCAGTTGCTTAACTTTCTGGGAGCTGGGTGGCAACTGGTCTGTGCCAGATTCTCCCATCTCTCTCTCTAGCGCGATCCGGAACCGAGGGTTTAAAAAAAAAAAAGAAAAGAAATCAAAACACATCTCAAAACTTCAGGGTTTCGGGATTAAAAAATACAGAGCCATGGCTCCCCAGCTGGTAGAGGTGGGCACAGCGCCACCGACATTCCTGTGCCAGGTCTCCAGCTGGTAGGAATGGGCACGGCGCCATTGGAGTCAATAGAAGGAGGCCGATTGTAGCAGGCGAGGATCTAGCCCTGAATTTAAAGAGGTAGCAGCCCTGAAGAGAGGAGCAAGAGCAACCTGGTCAGTCTCTCTGCTCCCCGTTAGTACTGCACTGACGATGTCCCCTTCCAGGAGCGTCCGCCTCCCGCATGAGCTGATGCTGTCCTTGCCTCCCTCTCCCCCCCTGCAGCTGGCACACTGGCATCTACTGTCCTTGAAAAATCAACCCAGCATCTGCTTGGTGTGGGGAGGAGGAGAGAGGGGAAGAAGCCATGCACACCAAGTCCATGTCTTCAACACCCAGCAAAGTGTGAAACAAGTGAGAGTGGAAGGGGTTAAATGGCTTACAGCGGCTAATGGAAAGAGATGGATCACATCACCCCCCTCATCAGGTTCCCACACCGGTCAGCCTCCCTATGGGACCACCACAGTCTCTGGGTGCCCTAGGTTCATCTTACAGGACCAAACCTCTCGTTGGACTAGGAGACCCAAGTAAAGCCCAAGCTACCTAATAAACCCTAAGACCTGGCTAGACAAAGCCTTGGCTGGGACAATCCAGGTGGAGCTGGTCCTGCAGGGGGTTGGGCTAGACGTGACCTCCTGAGGTCCCTTTCAGCCCCCATTTTCTTTGGTTCTGCCTACAAACCTGAAGCACAGCCCTCATCCGGGGACAATCTGAGTGCATTCACAGTCCTCCCAAAATCAGTGCACTACATACCAAAAAAGCTAAGTGAGTTTTTGTGAGATTGGAGCAGGTTAGGGGCCAGAGACACCATGAAGTTCTCTAACACAGGATAAAGAGAGAGAACCACAGAGCAAAGACCCCCCGCCTCCCACCACCACCACCACCACCACCTTTCCAATCCCCTTGTACTCTGCCCTACATCTTCACAGGGGCAAGGGAGGAGTGCTGCACTTTTGCAAGATGCATTTGCAACCTTTCAGGCTCAGGAACAGTGGCCCCTTCTGACAATTCAAAAAAGCTTGTGCCTTTCCATGGCATGATGGGGGACTGTGATTTTATAGGATCTGTCATCTGCATGGGTTTGGTTATTAATATTTCAGAGCCCTGAGATGGGAGTTACACCTACGTTAGTTTTTATTTTTGCATTAGATGTCTTTTCTGGTCCAATTATAGATTAATCACATTTTATCTCGCATCCGTTTCTCCCCCGCCTCCCTGCCCACCCCCACCCAGAGAAAGAGAGAAACTTGCAGGCTATTAATTGGCTGCAGTTCTCTACCGGGTTTATCATCTGTGCACATGGAACTGTGACTAGCGGCGAAGGGGATCGAGCAGCGTGTGGGGAGAAAGTAAGGCGTTTTTCTACCAGGGAAATAGCATTAGGCTCTGGGAGCTGGATTCCACTGAATGCTTATCAGGGATAAGGATGGCAACGTGAAGCTCTGAGCTTGGGAAAAGTAAAAGAAAGGAGATAGCAAAGTGTCTGGATGCAGAAATCTCAGGGATGCATCAAGAGTGCAGGGGAAGGAAGGGGGAGCTCAGCTGGGCACTTGTAAGGATTCAGCTGCCTCGCTGCCAGAAGAGACATCCATGACGGTGGTGGTAAAAGGGACCTGATGTCCAGCTGCAAACCCGTTTCCATGTCATGTCTGATGCCAGGGAGCTACTCAGAGGCTTTACCAGGTGCTGCTGAGCCAGACGGAGGAGTCTGTGCAGCGTCTGCAGGAGCAGCAGACAGTTCAAAGAGGCCGTGAGCCAGGGTGACCCAACTTCCTCTCTCGCCCTATGGTTTGGATCCTTCCACTCGGTGCCTTATGCCAAGGGCGCTCGCCCTTCTCATTACCCATCCATTACCCATCAGCGCTTTGTGCATCTTCCCCCACCCCATGGCCAGTGCCCACTGGGGTGGAAGGCATGAATGCCACAGACCTCAACATTACCCCTTATTCCCCAAGATGCTCCACTCTGGTCCACCCCATGGAAATAAATGGCTGAATGGGACAAAGCTTTATGAGGAAAGCAGCATGTGGAATAATAGTCCCTTAAAGCTATAGATGGGTTCATCTCTCCCCTGGAAACCGGAAAATGATCCACAAAGGGGCTGAGTTTTCCCAGGAAAAACAGCAGACACTGCAACCCTTCCCCTCTCTTGGGCAGGCTGAGAAAGGCTCCCACATCTGGGAAGTAGGGATGGCCCAGCCATCTCTGGCTGCAAGAGGGAAGGGGAGGGCATGCGTGCGTGCGGGCGTGCCGTGTGTGTGTGTGCTCTGTGTGTAGTGTGCGAGAGCAAGCTGCGGTTTTGCTCAGGGGAGAGAGGAGTGAGTCAGGCTGGGAAATAGATCACTGGGTCAGGGAGGCGCTTCTCCAGCAGTCAGCTGGAGGGAGCAGAAGAGGCTCAAGTGATTTGCTTTCAAGTGCATCCTGAGCACAGAAATCAAGCATTAGGAAGTGATCCGGTACTTACCATCTTGCGGCGTTGGCAGTGACTGGGGAAAATAGTTGACGGGCTTGTCTGCAAAGAAACAAACAGAGGGGAGGTCAGAGGCTGCAGGGGTGTCAGCAGGATTCATGCCCCCTCCCCGCAGAGGCACTGTGTGTATCCAGGGGATAAGATCAGCAGCGCTTTGCTCCCGTCTTTCCCCCGAGCAGCAAGACCTTTGCACGTTGCAACCTCCTTCTCTAGGAGGCAGGCACAGAGTGACAAAGGGGCTGTCCCCACGGTCACGGGCAGTTGGGGACAGAGCCCAGGAACTGCTGTCACCGCTCTGACCGCGGGCGGGAAAGATCCTGTACGCTCTCCCAAGACTCTTCCAGATCCGATGGGTCTGAGTATTTCCTGAAGAGCTGGATCTCTGCACCTGGTTGTGGTGGGGGAGCGGGTTACAAGTCTGGGAAGCGATGTCCTCCCAAATCCACTCCCTGCCATTCAGCGGGGAGGTTACTTCTGGCTGCCTCGGGCAATTGTGTGTCATCCCACCAAGGCCGCCCTGCCCAGCTGTGATGCAAAACAAACTATTTATTACCTCTCCTGCCACCCAAGATGCCGATTCATCAAGGCATTCAACTTGATCAGCCGCCGGGTTTGGCTAGGCCAGGGGGGGACAGAAGGGGCTGGCGGGACAAATGCATGAGTAGCTGGGGGCTCTGTGACATGAGTGCTCCAAGCGAGTGACTGAAAGGGCCTGGGAGAGATCCCGTGAACAAAGCCTTGTGGGTGGAAGTCCAGCACCTTTCCAAGCCTTCCCTGGGAACAGATCTCAATGGGGCCTTCGAAAATTGTCACCATTTGTCCCCACGTAACCTATTTCCCCACAGGGTGCCCAGATTTACATGGAGGAATCTGGTCTCGCACAGCTCTGCCGTGCGACCTCCCCGAAGTCAAGAAGTCAGGGGCAGAGGCAGGACCTGAAGCAGGGCTTTCCCGAACCCCGACACCTTAAATCCACTCTTTCCAGCCTAGCAGCAGCCATATAAACTGTTGCTTGGTCCAGGCTCTGTCAGACGCGTCACTCTTTTAGCCTGCAAGTTCACTGCCTTCTCCGCAGACTCCTGCGTGGCAGGGTCAGATGCCCGCGGTTCAGCTCCGCAGCCCTCTGCACCCCTGGAAAGCCTTCTCACAGCGGGTGCTGGGGGTGTCTGTGACCGGGGTGGGCCAGAGACGTGACTGCATGCTGGATCTCTCCTCCACGGGCCGCAGAGCGAGCTACGGGCTGGCGAGGGGTGGCTGAGGGTGCAGGAGGGAGGGCTGAACATCTGTTTTGGGAGGACTGGCAGGTGCCAGGGGGGTGGTCACACACATGCACAGATACGCATGCACCACACCGTGATGCTAACGTCTGAGTCAAGAAAGTGGGGATCTTGGGCTATAGCTCACTGGAGACTCCCCCTCCCTCCACCCACACACAAGGCGTATAACAGAGCGGGGTAGCGACTTCTCAGAGCATGGCCCAGAGCTGACGCCGTGCCTCCCTCCACACGCACCAGCCCGAGCAGAGCCGCCGTCACTCGGGCTGCTGTATGTGTCACTGTCCTCCTTGCCAAGGGACGCTCTCGTGCGGACCCAGAGAAGGGCAGAGGAAGCCTCCAGGCATGCAAGGAGCCCACAGCAGGTCTCAAGAGAGCCAGTGAGCATGCACCAGGCCAGGGGGCCAGTGCTGACATACACCCACCTCCACATCTGTGTCTGGCTGCTTGGAGCAGATGGTGCCTAGAGGGGTTACGGAAAGCAGGGTGTAGCCCTAAGGGGAAGGGAGGGCAGGGGGCCGGGCTCCTGTGGCTCAGCTCAGGGACCCGCACTGGTATCAGGGAGGAGACAGCAATGTGCGGATGGCTCCAACACCAAGCAGCAGCTCATCAGAGACCCAAACAAAGCAGCCTGCTTCCCACCCCCTCCCCGCCCCTGCCACCACGCCGAGAAACACCTACAGTTATTGAGGAAGAGCAGCACGGCAAATCCCAGGGTGGAGGTGGCCAAAAGGATGAGGCAAATGTTGCACGGGATCATGAAGTAGCGCACCACCAGGGAGACTTTGTGCTGGTACATGCGGTCCCGCTCCAGGGGCCCGGGCGCTATGGGGTACTGGCAGGCCGTCATGCCGCTGCTGGCAGGGGCGCAGCTTTCCACTGGCACATCCAAAGCACAGGACCCCCCCGAGGGGCACAATACAACCTTTCCTCTTGCAGAGCCCCCAGGAGCTAAGTTTCCCCAGGGATCCCCATCCTCCGGCAGGCGCAGGTAGGGGGCCGGCGTGCCTCAGCTTCAGAAAAGAGAGTTTGCCACCACGCGCCCCATCTCTCCAGCCCGCCCTGCACCACGTGCGTTAGGTCCCAGGCCCCGACGGGGGACCCGGGGGGCTGACGAGGAGCAACTCCACAAGGACTAGCGTCGTCCCCGGTTCAAATCTCCCCCAAAGGCCAGACGCAGCGGGTGGGGGCCCAAGGACCCGCATCCACACGTCGGCCACGTGCCTCCCCAAGGGAACGGGAAAGAAACAGCCGCTGCCCTGAGATCTCCAAGCGGGAATCCAAGCTGTGGGGCGAGGCGGAGAGAAATCCCAACTGGTGTCTGGCCAGCTCCTCAACGAGGGGCCGGCCCCGAGGAGGGTGGGAACCCACTAGGAACCAGCCCAACGCCTCCGTACGGAAGAAAAGTCCAGATTCAGGGGAGGGGCGCAGCTGCCCTGCGAGTCCCCAAATTCAGACGCTGGCCTGATCTCGCCCTGGGGGAGCCCCGAGTGCCTTTGGTCTGTGTGTCCATGCGACTGTAAATCCTCGAGGGGGCACACCTCAGTCTCTGCTCCCCCTCGGCTGGGCGAGTCCCGATGGCCGTGCGGAGGATGCTCCTTCCAGCGAGCTCAGCTCTCCGTCAGCCCACGCCGCAGCCGGGGGCAGGAGTTCCCTCTCCACGCTGACGGCGTGGCTGCGCGTCCAGCCCCACTGAGCTCCACTTTCCTAGAGAGCAGCCGGCCCGCAGCCCTCCTCTGCCTCCGTCGCTCCCCGCACGGCCTGGGAGCCGGGTCCTTCGCACCCTTCTGCCCCTCCTCCACGCGGGGGGCAACGCTAGGGCTTAGCACGAGGGTCCGGCGGCTACTCCTCCTCCTCCTCTTCCTCCTCCCCGAGCCGGTGCCACCGCCTCTCAGAGCCTGCCTGCAGGGCAGCACCGCCAGCACGGCTGGGACGGGCCAGCCCCCCTTCTCATGCCGCTCGGACATGCCAGCCCTTCGGCGGGAGAGTCCAGCTCCTGGCTGAGCCGGGCATGGAGGGAACCAAGAGCAGCCAAGCCCCTGGGAGCTCCTGCAGCAGCCGGGGTGGGCAGGAAAGGGGCCCCACAGCCCACCTTGCCGGATGTCCCTGGCCCAGCCAAAGGCCGGTGCAGCACAACGCAACCCCAGCCAAAGCAACGGCGTTACCTCCTGCTCCACGCACCCAAGTTTCTTTCTCAGCTGCCAGCCCCACGCCAAGGCAGGGAGGGCTGGGCGAGCCCAGGGTGGTGAGTTAGGGACCGGGCGGCACCCCTCTCTCCATCCGGTCTTCTAGGCACCCGGGCTCCTCTTCTAGGTTGCCCCTGTGAGAGCTTCGTCCCTCAAGCCCCACAGGTCCCTTCAAAGCATCTCCCGGCTGGGACGGAGGTGGAGGGGGGAACATAAAGGGCTGGTGTGGCGAGAGGAGGAGGAAAAGGAGCCTCGGCGACTCGGACGGCAGGCTGGATCCACGGCCCCGGCAGCCAGCAGCGTGCGGGAGAGGCAGACTCAAACAAAGGAGAAGAGGCTTTGGGGAATTCGCAGCCCTGGCTGCTCCGGGGAGTTCGTCGCTGGCGAGAGCACAAAAGGAAAGGGGAGG